TTAGTGCTTTTAAATAGATTATATATTATAATAACTTGAATACACGTTTAATTAGAAAAAACAAAAAGAGTTTATAATTTTTTAACCAAGATATCTGGGTCAGCTTACGTGCATCTCGACTAATTTTAGGGAAGACTAGCTTAGTAATCTACTGCCACAGTCACTCACTTAAACGAAGGATGCTCGATGGGGAATTGAAAATGAGACCGTGCGCCTATCCATACTATCCTCAAATCGCCCTAACCATATGGGCTACCCATGAATGAGTCTAAAAGAGTACTTTATTTGTGTTTCTTTTCTCATAAATGCTTCAAACACTCTTATGTGTATTAAACCCTCGTGCGAATGTTCAACGTTACCTTAAAATGAGAATCTTGTTATATGGTGTTAATAAACGATTACTGATGTTGGTAAACACTTTAAAAGACAAAAATTCAATGTTAATTGACACCATCTCTTGTGGAAAATATGACTATTCACACATGAGAATTCTAGTTCTTAGATTAATATTCTTTAAATTATAAATATGCTTCATGCAATGCTCTCCACTTAAACTATGGATGCAGATATTTATACTATCTCCAATTTGCCATAACCATCTGGACTGTCCACGGATGGGTTCCATGCAACATATTTCTCAATGTGATTTTCTTTAATATATGGTAAGTAAAGATATATATTAATTTGCTAGCATACAAAAATAAGTAATGAAGTAAAATCCTAGAAACACCTTTTAAATTGAATGAATTAAAGCATACACAATGGGACAATTTTTAATAATGTAGTAGGAAGGAAACAATGTCAAAGGATGTGTCAAATCTAGTGGGGAAATTAAATCAAATCATCAATGGTGGAGGCTTGAGTCATCAGCTGCAATACCCACCAAGCATGCATATTTATCTTTTTGGTTCATATTATTCTTAGTTAGAAGGATGATGATGATGATGATGTATGATTGAAATGTGAAAATGGGTAAAGGGACACTTTTGCCTTAATTGTTAGGGCATATCAATGGACACACTTAGTTGGATTTTTTTCAATTGGGTCCCTAAATTGGTCACTTCAATTCTTTGATCTAAATGGAATCTCGTGTTTCAATATGGAACTCACATCATCATCATCTACTATGACTTGAAAGGAATCTCTCGACCTTTTTACAAAACCCATCAATTTTAATCGTTGAATTAGAATTTTTAATACTGATCCTTATAAATCTAATTAATGGTAGACCATTCAATAACGTTATCGGATTAATGTTGTCATACAACTTTCACATTCTATGCGCACTTTTCATTTGTGGGATTTCAAACTTTCAAGATTATTCATCGTGTATGTTATGATTTCTAGCTAAGGTCTTTCAAAATATCATTTAAGCTAATTAGGACCAATATATATAGCTTCTTATCTATATAATATGATGAATAATAATTTCTATATTAATTGTGTGCATGTATCCAATGCAAATGCCATAATGTAAAATTATCTTGAGTTTGAAGCGAAGCTAAGATGGAAATAATCAAGAGGAATTAATAATGCACACGCACGATTACTTTAATTAATTTCCCTTTTATTAACTTAAGAAGAATATTAATTAATTATATTTAATTTTGTATTAATTAATGATCAGTCTCATAAAGGTTTAAGAGCCACGAGTGTTATCATTGCCCTAATAAGCACCATCCACTTTGAAGAACATGCTCTCTCTCTCTCTTTCCTCTTTCTCTTTTCTCTCTAAAAGCTCACACAAATTAACAAATTAAAGATATGGCCATGGCCATGGCCAACCCAATTTGATCTTCCTGTGTTCATATTGCTGAGATTTTCTTTCTTTCTTTCCCATGCTCATTCTAGTTCTAAAGTTTTACATATCTTCATGGGCCATGCAAATTTTTTATATATTAGTTAATTATATTCACAACAATTCTTTAGTGAGGCGAATCTATAATGTATAGTATTGCCACATATATTATGTATGCCAATTCTGATGGGGGCGTGACAGTCGGTTGTTGCGTTAGTCTCTCCCGAAGATTAGTTAAGATGCATATAAACTGACTTGAGCATCTTGATTAGCTAGTTTCAGTTTTGTGTGTGACAATCGTTGACTCTCACAATAACGTATGTACAAAATGAGTTTAATATGCATTTGTTTATGTAAAATTTCATGTGTTACGAAGAGTGCCAACGACTTTTGTAGACGTGACTGAAACTAGCATTACTCTTATAAAAATGTGAATAATATTTTGTCGAGAAAGCAAGATATAGTAGTGTGCACAAATCATCTCAACAGCTCATTTAGCCTATGCTGCCAAGCTAGAAATCAAGATATATACACGATGGTGCAAACGGGTAAAGAGAAGTTTAGGTTAGTTTATAATTAAATTTTAGATTAACTCGATTAATTAAATAATCAAGAGATTAATTAAGAATTGTGCATTTTTTTTTTTTTTTGTAACCAAAGTGTACTAATCATTGAGAGAGAGGAGCACAGTAACCCATCGCCATACTCCTTTACTTAAATCACAGATGTTCAGATCGGGAATCGAATCTGAGATCATAAATTTATTCGCATTATCCTCAATTCGTTCTAACCATTTGGGTTTCCCACGAATATGTTTAAGAATTGTACCATGAAAAACAAGTGGTCAAATATTGAAAGAGAGATCTCATCAAAATGTGTGCTGAAAAAAGTATTCCCACTACTATGAATATAATGCCCTACAATAGAAGATCAATTGGGACCAAAAATCAAAAACCTTTCAAAGTTTAATTACGAGAAATATCATATTGTAAAAATAAATATAAGTTTATATATATATATAATAAGATTCAAGAGAGATTATGATTGCAAGAACATGCACATATTATCCTTTTGTCTGCCTCAGTTTACTCCCAAATTGTTGGGAGGATTTAAGAAATATTTGTTAATGCGTGACAACAATAATTGAAAGGGAAGGCTGAAATTTGTTTGTAAAAGATTAAACAAAACACAATATATTAATTATTAATTAATTATTTAATTTCTCCATTAGTGAAAAGCTATTTAATTAACCTTGTTCACTGTATCAACTGCACAATCATGGTAATCTTTTATCTTGGTAATTAAATTATAATATCATATGTATAAGTGTTTTCCCTGCTGTTAAACATTATGTTTTCCTGTTTAATCCCATATCATCCCCATTATTGTTTTTGCTGCTCAAATTGCTATGCCTATTATCACAGTAGGATTTGCCGACCATCACTATATATATGTATATATAAACACAAATTTCTTTTATTAAATTCTTGTTTTATAGTTTTAGATGATAATAATAAACCATTTATTGATGATAAAATATATATTGAAGTAATAACAATAATAAAAAAAAAAAATGTAATTTTAAAAGCTATACATACAAAATTATCGATTTTATAATTATCTTCGAAGATTTTTCAATTAAAGGAAGAAGAAAGTATAAAAGAAAATGAGAGGAATTGTTGAAGAGAAAAAACGTGAAAAAAAATATAGGTATTTTCAAATCCCAGCATCAATAAAATATGAAAATATCTTAATGGAGTCAATAAAATACGGATAATTTTAGTGATTTCAAAATGGTTAATTATTATAAAATATATATCTATTTTTAATAATTTCAGAATCTTAGTGGGTCACTTGACCCCACTGAGTATACTTTAGCTATGCCTTTGAGTATAGATGTTAAAAGACACCAATAAACCATTTACCAAAGATATCTGACGAGATTAGTAGGGAAAACATATCATACTTGATACTTTCATATTAGAGAAAATTAATTTTGATTTTAACCTAATAATTTGAATCTTTACATTGTAACCCCAATTCCAAGAAAATTTTGGATATAAATGTTAGAAAAAAAAAAAAAAAAAAAGAGAATCCGACTTTATGATGAATGTTGTGTAGAGACTAGAGAGCACATCTAGGGCACAACATTATTGCTGTTCATCAGCTGATTGAATCATGAATGTTTATACAAAAGATCAAATGAGCCGCAGTAGTTGACTGTTAATTCAAGCTTATATAAATAAATATAATTGTTGATGTTTAATTGTACAATGGGCAGCAATTTAATTGATCTTTTAGTCTGGTTCACACTTATACCATATCCTTATTTGCCTAATAAAGAAGAGAAACTTTGATTGCATTATGCCCAAGTTTTGAATCATTCTTTATTCTTTCTTTGGCCATCTTTTTATCAAAAAAACATCTTAAAAACTTTGATTTGATATAACATAATCGTTACTGTTTTCATTTTACAGATGTTAATATGCAGACGAAATGATATGCTCGTAAAGAGAACTTAGAAAAATATCGATCATACATCTGGGTATCGCAAATTGTGATAAAATATAATAGAATCAATGCCGCTTTCATTTTGTAGATATTAATATACAAACGTGATATGCCATGTTTTATCATACATTTGGGTATCACGTAAGCCATTCTTTGCATTATGCACAAGTTTTGTCTAATTCTTATTTGTTGTCTGTCATTATCTACAATGTCAACGCATCGAAGATGAAAAATGTGAGTTATTTATCTGGGTATCATGTCATTCTGGTAATAATTTGTAGATATATGTCAAATATGATCTGCGGCCGATCGTACGATAGATTTTCAGGTAAATTAGTAAAAAAAATTGTCGTTTTCAAAAGGAAAAAAATTGGAAAATAAAATGAGAGGTTAAAATATATAGAAGAAAAAGAAAATGAAGTGGACCCTAATGATCAAAGATTAGCTTTGTTGTTAGTATCAATATCTTGTATGCACAATTATACACATTAATAATTTACTTTAACTTTATGAAGTAAATTAAAGCAAAGGATCTTACGTCACTTCATGAAGTGTTAATTACAATTAATTAAATTTAATTAATCTTCCACGTCATCATTGCCAACCTGGCAGTCATGTGCCAGCTGGCTTGAACTCTCTGGCCTTATAAGACTTTCTCAAAGAGAACTCACACAGAACCCTTTCTCTTTCTCTTTCTCTCTGTCTTCTTCTTCTTCTTCTTCTTCTTCTCCTTCTTCTCTCTTCAGGCGTGAGGTTTGGCTTTTGATTACAAAAACTCTTTTACAAAACAAAAGCCATCAAGAGCCCATCAAGAGCTGTGTCTCATTTGTTTTCTTCTCATTTTTATGAGAGTCAAAAAGAATTACAGAATAGCAAGAGTCTCTGTCATCATCTTTGTCTTGACATTCATGTTTTTGTTTCTTTCTTCTTCATCACTTATGTATAATCATTCTCTCTGTTTTCTCTCTCACTTACCTTTGCTCAGTTTCATCAGCTTTTGATTGATATATAGTTCTTCTTTTGAGGCAGACAAAGAAAGAGAAAACAATATCATTTGAAACCTACTGTTTCTTATTGTTGTTATTATATAAGTTTTCAGTTGAGTTTCATCCATGGATGTGTGGGAGAAGTATTCGTTAAAGGAAGATCATCATCTTCTTCATAAGGGGGGTCGAAACAGGAGGGAGAACAACAATAATCCTTCTTTCTCTTCAACTCTTCTCGACGCTATTTACCGTTCCATTGATGAATCAAACGGTAAAGGAGACGAGGATGACCGAGAGGTGATTTTCTACAGAGAATCCATGAGGAAGAAGAAGCATGGGCATGGAGGGCAAGAAGATGATCAAATGGCTCGTATGCAACGAGCTTGCATGATTGAGAGGTGGATGGAGAAGAAAGTCAGCTGCGAAAAGGTCGTTGTTCGAAGAAACTCCATGGCGGATTTCGAAACAAAGCATCATTTTGATAATTCGGTGTTGTTGAAGTCGAGCTCCAGTTCTTCAGAATCCAGCTGTGGAGGCGGCTTCTCATCATCGGAATCAGACTCCTTTTATGGTGCAAAATCAAGATCCAATTCAAGTTCTTGTTATTCCATGCAAAGGCCGAAGCCAATTCGAACCAGTCTCTCTTCCACCCGCCCCGAGAAAGAGTATGTTTCATCGCAAAAGGCGGCGGGGGCTGCGCCAAAACACGAAGGTGGTTCCGGGAAGACGAAACTTTCCAGAGCCTTGAAAATTTACAGTGATCTGAAGAAAGTCAAGCAGCCGATTTCTCCGGGCGGCCGACTCGCAAACTTCTTGAACTCTCTCTTCACTGCAGGAAATGCAAAGAAGGCGAAGATTATAAACTCATCACAGCCGGAATCGGCGTGTTCATCAGCTTCCTCATTCTCGAGGTCTTGTTTGAGCAAGACGCCATCTTCAAGAGGGAAGTTAAGCAACGGAACCAAGAGATCAGTCAGGTTTTATCCGGTAAGCGTGATCGTTGATGAAGATTGCAGGCCGTGTGGGCACAAGAACCTGTATGAAAATAACAAGAATGACGAGCTTCAATATCGCGTCATGAATGAGAGCCAAAGAGTCCAGGAAGCTGCAAGGGAGTTGCTGAAGAATTATCAGAAGAAGAAGCTGGAGTTTGATAATGATCAAGAGTTTGATGATGTTGAAGAAGAAGATGAAGATGATGATGCAAGCTGTGCAAGTTCTGATCTTTTTGAATTGGATAATCTTTCAGCCATTGGAGCAATTGAGAGGTACCGAGAAGAACTGCCGGTTTATGAAACAACTCATCTTGATACTAATCGAGCCATTGCCAATGGTTTGATCTTGTAATTCCACCAAAAAAAAAAAAAAAAAAAAAAATTCCAAAAATTAAGTTTCTAATTAATTAGGTTTAATTTTAATGAATGGTTTGGGGGTTGGTTTACATCATAGAAATAATAAAAATATGTCTCTCAATTTTTACGTTTTTTTTCTTTCTTTTATATTATCTGTTTTCAACTCTTCCGATCTTCAAAAGATTTTATCGATCGTCTATTCATTACTTTAACGAGTATGTATTATGGAGAATCTTGAAATCTTGTTCACGTATGAAATTCAAAAATTTAAAGTAAAATGAGAGGTTAAGTTCAATTAAATTAAAGCAAAGGGCAGATTTTCTACACCATCAATCATCCTCAGCAAGAGAGAAAGAGAGAAAGTGAGGGAAGCTTTTGCTTTCTCTTCGCTAAATGTGGGGTCTCCTAAATTGCTTCAATATAACACAAACTCGACTCAAAACCATATAAATGAAGGATATTTTTTAGTCAAAAAAGTGACAATTAATCTAGAATTTTCTTTTCTAAAAATTTAATTATTCTTGATTAAAGTACTTCCCGACCGGGTTGCCGGAAAATGATTTTCCGGTGAGGGTTTATATGGGTTTTACTCTAGTTGATTATAGTGGAAAAAAAGCAAAGAAGAGAAATGAATACATGGTCTCCAAAGCTGTGGACAAAAGGATCTAATCTTTGATCTTCAAGACCTTTTTGTCAAATTTGGTTGGCTCCTAAGCTATGAGTATTTCCTCAAAAGTAAATTCAATTAAAGTTTTTTTCTACAAATTAAATTAAATTGCCAAAATAAATCTCATTTTCAAACCACCTTATCAAATCAATTCATTGCAAATTTTGTGTTATCTCTTAACCTTTTTTATTTATTTATTTTATATTATCTTAATCACTCTTTGTCTCATGCACATAAAATAACACTCAAAGGAACATGCATGGCATTAATTAGTTTGCAAAATGGGAAGCTTTTAATTATCAGGGTTTATGAGTTACTGGGGTTAGCTATATCCAGGGGTCTTGTGTTCGAGTCACAGGAGAAGCATCTACTACAGTTTTATAATTATCCTGATCCATTGAACTTGTAGGGTGTTCTGTGACCCTGAGGATTAGGTGGACTCGGCTAACAATTGTGGTCGGATACTTTAGTTATTTAAAAAAAAAAAAAAAAATTCTTGTTGGTAAGAGTTAATTAACATACGCCGGTTTGGGTGTAGGGATTTCACGTCGATATCTTTTTTCAGTGTTGGAAATGATGTCGATGTGCTTACATCTCGGATTAGTTAGGATGACTCTACATAATCACTCATTTTACCATTGAGGGATAGGGTATTAATTAATTAATCTTCCTCATAATATAAATTATGAGGAGAAGAGAGACGTGAAGATGGATTTAATTAATTAATTACGAGGACCACTAAATCATAACAGTGTGATATACTAATTAAGCTATCATCACATAATTAATTAATTTAATCAAAATTTTGAAACTTAGCTTGGACTATAGGAAAAGAAAAGGCTAAGCTAAGGTCAAAAGCATTGTAGACTCTAATTTGCCTATAGAATACAAAATTAATGAAGTGACCTTATGAAAGCTATTTGCCATGCAGCCTCCAACATCAATGACTTGGAAAATATATTAATTAAGTTGTTAATCAAAGATTAATTAAGATTTAAGATCAGCTTCGATTAACAACAAATCTTGATTTTTTTTTTTCTTCTAAGAAATTAAAGGTGTTTCCAAATGGTTGGTGAAGTGGAGAAGTTGAAAACAATTATGGGGAGATTTAGTGGTGGGTGTGAGAGTGAGACCACCAACTCATATCCCTGCGTTGACAAACTATAATCGTTGTCAAACTTTTTAATTTCGATTTAATCCTTGATTAAGACTTAGATTAATGCAAAATATCTAGCACCTAATTAGTTGCTTCTATGATGTGTAAAGGCTTTTATTTTACAGCATAGATTTTTTGTTAATAGAAGTTTATATTTAACAACATTGCATAATAGTCTATCTTCGGTAGCTCAAGTGGTAGGACGAGCACTGGGATGTGTGGCTAATTTAGGAAGAGTCGCTATGTTAAAAGACTTGAATGGTGTAAGGCTGGCCCTGACTTGGTGGAGTCATGGCGCCGGACAGTCCAATTCCGTTGCATTTTTGGAGTTGTGACAAGTGATATTAAAGCCAAATTGCTCCTTGGTGGGGTGGGGGGGGGAGTAGGCAACTAGGCATCATTCCAGGAGGGAATGGTTGTCTGAGCGGATCTTTCTTAGAATTAGAGGTGATATCCTTGTTTACTTCACAGTCTCAAGTTCGAACCTCCTCGTCCCAAAAGTTAAGTGTGGAGACCGGTGATAGGTTGCTGCACTAGTCTTCCCTGAGGATTAGTCGAAGTAAGAGTAAGCTGGCTCGAACACCTTGGTTACAAAAGAAAAAAAAAAAAACATACATAATTTTTGTGTTGTTGGTATGTATTTGGTGGTTGAAATAAGAAGTTTGATTTTGTGTTCTCAAAATTTGGAAACACTCGTTATCATTTTTTTTAAAGTATCTAAAAATGAAACTGTTAAAGTTGTATTTGTTCTCTATCACCAATTTGGTTACTTATGGTGTATATATGTGGTTGAACTCTATTCTCCTTCGAGTTAGCTTTTGGAAATAAGTTATACCAAAACACATTTATAATGGTATAGATCAGAAACAATGTGAAGATTTTATTATCTTTTCTTTTAATCAATATGAAATGTAAAGAATGAAAACTAGAAAACATTTTTAATATAGATAAATAATGACCATCTTGTAATTAAATGTGTTGTTAATGGCTAATAAAATCGAGTTGTTACTATCATCTTCTCAATAAATAGTTGAACATTTTGGGGCAAGCCATGGCTAGCCATGTCACTCACCAACCATGCACAACTCCGTGGCATTAAAGCATAACATTTACAAACAATGGAACCAAATTAACCATGTGGCCATAGCATTCGAAGGGACCAACTCGGATTAGGGCCCGAGTGTAAACCACAAATGGCTTGATCATTGGCTCGACCATCTTTAACTCTGTCCATGCAAAAGGGTGCATGCCGGGTCAACCAATTAAGCTTGATTGATTTGAGCCTCAAATCTGAGATGTCTTATCTCTAACAATGGTTATTCTCAATTAATTAATCTTCTACCTCTCAATTATTTTGCCAGTTATTAGTTGACAAATAATAAATCTGAGATTCTAAGTTGTCAACTTTGTTTCTTTCTACAAACAACTTTGAGATAGATATGAGGCCCTTTCTGGTTCATAGATATCAACCTTTTTGTACACAATAATATAATAATGTAAGTTGGTCTTATTGAATGAATTATACCTGCCAAATGGTGGGAATCACGATTCAAGACAGTCCACGACATTGTTTTAAAACCTGGAACAGACTGACTGGTTCGATTGGGAATGAGACCCTTATTCGGACAGGGTACATCCTAAATTCGGTTGTAACAGTTGGACTGGATTGACCTAGGGTTGAACCGGTGGAACAGTACCGAATTATTGATTCAACTGTTGGATCAGAGAACCAATCAACTCCCATAGGCCATTTTTGTTGTTTTTTGACGGATTTTGCACCCCAAATCACGGAAAACACCTCCCAAATGCTGATTCACGCCTTTTTTGGCTTGATTTTGTCGCCCTCGCCTTTGCCAGATCCAGGTTTCTTCTTCGCACAGCACGACCTTTAGCCGTCCACATCGCCATCAATCGTCCAGACCATATCCTCCACCTACCGTTGACACCATCTCACCAGCCTACCATCTCCATCACAGTCACGATTGCGCGACACACCATAGTGCATGATTCCTCTGCACGTGACTGCGTGCGTGCGAGCCCCCTACGCGTCCACAACCCCCACTTCGCCTGACCGGGACTGTCTGATTGATTGGAGGTTGAATTTGATTGTTGGAGTTTTTGGATTAATTATTGTTGTTTTAAAATTTTATTATGTCATGATAACATCACTAGTCCAATCGATCAGATTGGCCGACTAGGGACGATCCCTTGATCGGGTCAAGGCCTGGTTCGGGTCTTATAACATTGGTCCACAAAGCCCTTTTGTTGAGGGAGCTTCACTAACGACACGAGCCTCTGAGGACCATGAGGCCTCTATTGCAAGTCAACAATTGAGCAACAGTTGTACGCGTCGCTCCAGATCGGATATAGATCTTATGATGCATGTATATTATAAGTACGAATGGTTATAAATAGGATGTGATTAATAACAACTAATTATAATTGATAAAACCTATACTATTTAGTTACGTTAACAAAGACTTTAAATAACATAGAATTAGTAATAAATCCCACAATTAGTCCTTATGTGATTTCATAATCAACTTCTTAATATCATTAATCGACCAAAATAGAGATGGTTAAAGTAAAGCAAACCTCGAAAATGTACACCAACGTTACAACATAAATTGAAAATCGAACCTACATTAAAGTTATCGGGATCCCAAAAAAAAAAAAAAAATTGGTAAAATTTGAAAACAAAATGTGAGTGGGGGCATAAAAGTGGTCCAACAACGAAGCATGCCTTCAAGTTAGTGGTACATTAAAATGGGAAGCTAAAGGATGGATGAGTGTGACTGTGTGAGTGACTTGACGTTTGGGCCGCACGTGGTGGGCTGGCCTGCCTGTCGCTGGCCGCATGCACACGTGTGCCGCCTCTTCTTTCAGAGGTCCCCGTATCATCCGCTGATTTTATCATCAAATCACAAACCATTAAAATATCACTATCATCATCATCATATAGGCCCCACGCTATTTCGTTTTTTTAACTTTTGCCCCCTTGCTGCCTAGCATTATTCACTTCCACTCTTCTTTTGACACGTGGGTTATCTACACGTGTGTCTCTTTCACTTTATTTGAGGAAGTTACTCGTTTGCCCTTGTAGTTGTGATGGGATAATTCTTTTGGACAAATTTCATTTACCTCCCTTCACATTTGTGTTTAAATAAAAAACACCCTATTTCCTTTGTAAAACCTCATGAAA